GGCGACCAGCACCAACGATACGCCGTATGCTGCGACGATACCGCCAATCTGCGCGGGGAGATACTTTGTGTCTCGCAAGGCTCTGGCTGAAAACGCTGGACCGTCCTCGGGAGCTGGTGCAGGACTCCAGTCAATGCCGAGGGGGTTGTTGTCTCTATTGATAGCGTGAAAGACCTGCTCTGTAGCTGTTGGGCCCGAGTGAGCGAACGGGAAGAGGAAAGAAAGCGACAGAAAGGTCAGAGAAGAGACCAGTTGTAAATAGCAGTGTGGCATCGTGGAGAGGAAGTAAGCCCTTTGAGGCGGCGATCATTGCGTTATGTGACCTCCTGGAGGAAGTCGACAAAACATGGTTTGGAGGAGAATTGACCAGGCCGGGGATGGATATGAGGCGTCATTCCGGTATATACATGCCCATTGAGCGGCTGCTGACGGTGGGCAGTGTGTCAGACGTTAGCGCTGGGGTTTCGAAGCGTGTGTTGGTTTGCTGAGGCCAGAAGCATTGCTCGACCGTGCCCTGGCCGGGATTCAGTTTCGGGCCAGACTTGCATGATGGCGTTTGGACGGGCCATCTTCTTGTGGTGAATCACACCGCAGGAAGGCAGAAGGGCAGACAGGAGGGCTGATGGTGTTGACGAATTGTGGTTGGATGGTTGGTGGTGATGGCAGGGATGCTAAGCGCCGAGTTCGAAGTGATGAGGAGATGAAGTCTGTGATTGGATGAAAAGTGAGGGCCTTGCATACGCTAAGTGCTGGTGCCCGAAGATCCAGCCCCCGCTTCCGAACTTATTATGAACATACAATCGAGCATCTGACCAGAGAGAATACTCTGTAAACACGCCGTACTCCTAAATAGACTGAAAATAATGCCGCTAGAAGGCAACAAAACACACAAGACAGCAGCGGGGTCTGTCCATCATCAGGTCAATGGTCAATGCGTACGCCTATCTCCGTGCATTCGTGTCAGCCAACACCAAAGGGCTCTTGTTGGGCGCATTTTTAGCTTGGTGACACGAACAGAGCCTGATCGAGCCAACAAGACGTTGCAGGAGATAGTACCTGGTGTACGGAGTACATACTCAAGTGCTCCCTCCGTCCTTGGCCATTGAGGTGCGAGATCCTTATCCCGCATGGCCTGGTTGGGTCAATTGTGACCGGTCACTTGTGCAGACTCTTGACTCAACTGGCTGAACAATTTGTTCATTTTGAAGAATCACCAAGCCACTTGTCTCCTGCAACGCAACATGCAACGCTTCGTCTTTTCTCTTCTCTCTCTCTTTTTTTGGTTCCTCATGGTTGGTTTTCATTCAATAGGTTTGGCCCCTGCTAATTTCAGGTCACATGATCTCGCGACGTGGGGGCGTTTTGTTACGCGTTCTGGTTTGACGCCAGTCCTCATCACGACATGTACAGCGCCCATTGCTTTTGACTTCTCTTGGCCATTGACCCTTCAATTCCAACTTCGGGACTTCAGACAGCCTGTATGTGCTCTAAAGTGGCTAAATTTGGCTCAATGATAGTCTCATTTGCACCGTGTCCCCATATACGCGTGCACAGCAACGCGCCGGAAACACCATGGAAAGTCCACATCCAGAAACAATCTTGAATTCTTTAAACGAAGCTCAACGTCGGGCAGTCACATCAAACTCCCCCACAGTTGCTATATTGGCTGGCCCAGGCAGCGGAAAAACACACACACTGACCTCTCGTGTCGTATGGCTTGTCCAACATGTGGGCTATCAGCCCGCTGATGTCATTGTCGCGACATTCACCGTCAAAGCTGCTCGGGAAATGAAGGGCAGAATTGGCAAAAGACTCGGCGAAGAATGTGAGAAGAAAATAGTACTCGGAACTTTCCATTCCATTGCTCGAAGATATCTAGCTGTCTACGGCAAGCGAATTGGCCTGGACCCCAAATTCGGAATTGCTGACGATGGAGACTCCCGCGCTATCATTCAAAGAATCATCAAAAGACTTGATCTGCAGATTGAACCCGCACACGCCAAAAGCTGGATTAGCAAGAAGAAGTCCAAGGGCACGACACCAGTACCAAAACAGAGTGGAAGGCGGCCAAATGAGACCCCTTCGCTCAATGAGTGTTATACCGCATACCAAGACCATCTCGCCAGATCAAATCTACTTGACTATGACGATTTGTTGGTTCGATGCGTTGAGCTTTTGCAAGAGCACCCCTCATGCGTGTCCAACGTTCAGGCGGTTCTGATTGACGAGTACCAGGATACCAACGGCATACAATATGATTTGATGAAGCTGTTTGCACAGGCTCGACAGCGAATTACCATAGTCGGAGACCCCGATCAAAGTATTTACGGGTGGCGCTCGGCAGAAATCAAGAATCTCTATCGGCTCTTGAGAGACTACCCCGAGACTGACGAGATATCATTGGAAGAGAATTACCGATCGTCACAGTTGATTCTCGACATGTCGCTGCAGGTTATTCAGCAGGATTCAAAGCGATATCAAAAAGTCCTTTTGCCGGTCCATACTAAGGGTACCAAACCGGTGCTCCGGAGGCTTAAAAGTTCCTCCAGAGAAGGGGAATGGATTGTATCCGAATTGAGAAGAGCCATTACTATGTTTGGGGGGGCGATAAAGAATGAAGATGTGGCGATATTGCTAAGGTCGGCGTACCTGTCCAGACACATTGAGTCTGCCCTGGGCAAGGCTGGCATCTCGTACCGCATGATAGGAGGACACAAATTTTACGAAAGAAAGGAGATTAAAATCCTACTTGACTACCTCCGCGTAGTCTACCAGCCGAATATGAATGACGCTCTGGCAAGAATTATCAATGTACCTCGAAGAGGTATAGGAGAGACTACAATAAAGTCTCTCCTGGAGGAAGCAGAGATGTCAAAGCTTAGCCTGTGGGCACTGTTATGGAGGCACTGCCGTGGAGGTCGACGAGCAACAACGAAACTTCGCCCAAACATGGAGCAAAAATTAAATACGGAGCTTCTAAGGATCGTCTCTTCTCTGCGGCAAAGCATGGAGGATATTATTGCAGGTGGTTCCATGTCTCTGGTGGATCTGATTGAACAACTGATAAGTCAGTTATCCTTCAAGAAGTATCTGGAGGCAGAATATCAGGAGGACCACGAACAGCGGTGGGCCAACGTACAAGAACTTCTGAGTTTGGCAAACGACTTCGTGCGTGACTATGACAATGAAGGAGAGGAAGAGGCTCTGCCCGAGATTGAAAACCTCGATCAAGTAAAGGATAATGATATCCTAGGTAAATTTCTGGCCAATGTAGCTCTTGCGTCCGACGCCCAGTCGGGTGACAAGGAACAAGACAAAGCATCACAGGTGACAATATCAACTATCCACGCCTCCAAAGGCCTAGAATGGCCCGTCGTATTTATCCCCTCGGTCTACGGGGGGTCAATACCTCATTCCCGAGCCGAAGACATGGATGAAGAGAGAAGATTACTCTATGTGGCCATGACAAGGGCAAAAGCCTTGCTGTATTTGAGCTGTCCGCTATATGGATCTCAAGGACTAGGCAACAAGGTCGAACTCTCGCCATTTGTCTCAGCATTTGCCGAGTCCTTTGCTCAAAAAGGACCGTCATTCGATAGGCCTGTCGTGGAAGGGGTAGGCAAGATTCTCGGCCGAGTGATACCGTCTGAGAAGTCAATCTTCGACAAGATACCAATCATGTTTTGTCCCGAGGATGATCAACATCCAATTGATCCTTTCGACCACGAGAATCCTGATTATCTCGATCCACATGACGACAACTCATACGGCAGACCGCCAAAGAAGCAAAAGACACAACATTATGTAAATAATGGCGGTACGGCACAGGAGAAGCCATGGAAACCAGATTATTCCACGACAATGGAGCAGTCTTCCGGATTCACAATGTCCTCCCTACCTGGATTCGCTAGTGCAAGCACACATCGAACGGCTCTAGCAGCATCTGGCGCCGAGGCAGAGATGTCCCGGAATGCCGCCGGCAAAGCCTACTCAAACCGAAGTGTTAAAGGAACCACTAATAGACGACCGGACCAAAGAAGCTTGCTTGGATTTGTGACAACGGAATCCAGGCAACTCGCGACCGCTGCAGGCATGAAGCCTGCACCAAGAGATTTTTCTCTCGCTCGATATCAGGCAGCCGCATCACGAGCAGCCCACCGAACTTCCCAGCCTGCTGTCAACATTAACGCAGAAGCAACTATAGACCCAACGTTTGCCAAACACAAGGTTACAGGTGCCAAACCTATTTCACGGCCCAATGTAGCCCAGTCGACGACGAAAGAACCTTCCGCCAAACATTACGCCTGTTTTTCGAGCTCCCCTACGCGGCCACTATCACCAGAGCCGCAACATGACGAGGGAAAGGCTGCGGCAACAGTTTCGCAGCGCCCAGCAACTGTCTTCCACTCGACAACGTTCACATCCATGAAGCCAGCTGGCGGCATAAGGCGACCAGTTGGCCTCGGTCCCCCGCCATCAATGGATCGTCTCCGGAAACCGTTCAAGCCTCTCACGATTAATCGTCCAAGGGGCCCACCGGGAAATTCATAACGAAGGCATCATGTTCACTTTCATGATTACGCTAGTATTCGGACGAGACCGGGAGTATTACAACTGGACGTCATGAGTATCAGGGTCGAGGCTGTGGATCATTGTGGCGTCGCGTCATATCCGCCAGCATTTGGATTCAACGATCGGAAAATGTGGAACTGTCCGTGGAAGAGCTTAACGCTTAAGCGTTATGCTCCCGTTATGCTGGTGTAAGGCTTATCAGTCGTGTTCTTGACAACGGGGAAATATAAATAAACGGTCTCAATTTCTCAACTATGACACTCAAAAACTCATCATCACACAATTAAGCAATACAGTACAAATTTATACTAAACCAGGCAATTTGCATCTCTAAACAATCGCCCTCTCCTCCAATAAGCAGCACAGCACATTAAGCGCATCAGAAATATCTACCTCTAGACTTCCACCTATAACTACCAGCACTCGAAATGTCTGCCGTCGCTCGACTCTCTACCCCTATCACCAAGATGGCCACCCGCCGAGCCTTCTCCACGACCACTGCCTCTCTGAAGCCAGCTACCACCGATGCAGCGGCAAGTAATTCATGGGCATGGAAGAACCTCTCGCCCAAGACTCGACGCAATGTTGCTTACGGACTTGGCGCATGTGCCGTTGTTGACAGCTATATTGTTTACAATTACTTTCCTGGCATGTTGGGACTAAAGGAGGAGACAAAGAACTAGGCGCTTGTAAGAATGAGCCTTGGGCGGGGGACCTCAGATTCATGTACTAGATTTGGCAAGTGTGTAATTACATTGCAGGTCAGATTTTCAATGGTATATAGACTGAAATATTCGATTTATCCCTTCAATTTTGTTTCAAAGCGTCTATTTCTCTAAGTGTGTCACTTTGACGTACAACCCGACATTTACTGCCGACAAGTCTTTTCTAGCTAAAATCATATTGTGACTGCTCCCATCTTATTAGTCCTTGGCTATACCAGCGCCATCTTGCGAGTTTTAAATACGCTGGGGCTGCTACCCGCTGTTGTTCTAGCAGACCTGCGTGGTGGCATTTGTCGAGCTCCAAGAGGTTTGGCTGTACTTCAACTTGGCGCAGGCGAGCTCCCATCACTTTATTTATTGTGTTTATTTAGAGCATTTATCTTCTCGGGGCGCTTGAGTATCGGTGACTCTAGTTTCAAGACAAGACAGGTCTCCCATGCATGATTTAAAACCTTGGCGTATTTAGACGCCGAAATGGCAACGAGAGACAAGGGCAGGCTAAGATTATCAATACATTATACGTCATTGCAGATGTTTTGCCAAATCATCAGTCAGGGGAAACAAAGCCTACAGTTCCAGCATTCAACAGACATCGATCGGTCTCTCATCTAGGCGCCCGAAAACATGGCACGTCGAGCTACCCTAGAATACTGCCCGTGTAAGAGATGGCCGACGACTGAAGGTGTTTATATGCATTACGGACAATCCATAACCAACTGCTCTGCAGTGGCGTCCAAGCGCCGCACTCAGAGAACGGGTGAGCATTTGTACGCCTTGGAGATATGTCTGCTTCATGGACAGTCGTGTGTCTTGATATTTTTTTGCCCAAGGGAGTTTCATTTGGCCGCCAGACGCAGAATTCTTGCCGTTTTTTCTTTTCCGGAGCGCGTTCAAAAGATGCTTCACTTTTGAAGCATGGACTCATTAGCAACATATATTTCCCCTTGCCAGATGCTACGGGGTTGCATGCTAGGTAGCCAAGGCCAATTCCTCTCTGAGTCTTTACGCAGGATCCCTTTGTTGTGATATTGGATCACCAGCGCAGCGGCATTGGCAGAATGGACCGATTTATCACACGGTGAACCTCGTAATACCTGATTTCTATCCCTTGCGCTTTAGCTTTGAAAATGTAACCCTTTCGGCGTGTTGTAACTATAGGCATTGTGTCGGGGTCCGCAAACAACTCACCCGGTCCACGAAGACACTGTCAGTTCATAAAACCCACGCACACTTCTCGCGTCTCATAATTATTTACTTCCTTCGCGCGGACACATCCACGGCCGGCCCAACCGGGCATTGAATTAGACCGAGGTTCCACAACGGAAGGACCGATGTCCGGCCGCCTCGGACCAAGAGTTGCGGTCCCTCGCGCGATGATACATGGCGCAACGAAGAATGCTACTTCAGTAAGTTCATGATGACTTGACTTTCATTACGATAAAACCACCAGTTTTGGGCCCTACGTTCCAGACGTAGCGACTCGTGCGTCTCTCTGGCGATGTCGCCACTTCGCCCAAGTTGCATTGCCAATACATAATGATGAGATCATATCAATATTGTCCTGGGAATGGCCGCGCTGATAAAACACCTATGGTGCGTCTATCGTCGTCGATTCGTACAACGAGGGACTATATCGTGATTGGCAAGATTTCACGGCAACGAGGACGTGGCTCATGAATTGCTACTTTGATGAGGGTCGCCTTCACTATCCCGACCGAATCTTTAGTGGTATATCGAGTCCCGAGGCAGGCTAGACTCGAAAGATGAATGCATGTAGGATATTTACCCAGGTAGCTATTAGCGATTCCCGCACCGATGTGGCCAATGTCAGAAAGGCATGAGGTCGGTTGGACTTAGCCCGGCTATACTTCAAAATTCTGAAGCTCGTATGCTATGTCCCATTTTGGACACGATGGACATTGCTAGCTACCCACTCCAAATAGACTTGCAACCTCCTAAACTGAAGCCATGGGACCGATCGGTCTGTTGATATGCCGTAATTGGTCGAACGGCAAATAGAACTCGGCCAGATTTGCAGAGCACAAGGTGAAGTGTCTCGTCCCAACCCTGTCAAAGTTGGAGGAAGTGGCACTAGAGAGGTGTCTGATGACCTCACGATGCACACGACAGTAGCCCAGTTGACCAGATGCTGGCGAATGACACACACAGCCCTTGTTCGCCTGTCCTGTTTGCTGCTGGTGGCGCTGCGCGTGCTGGCCGACGGCGGTCCAACGTGCTGCATGTCTGGTCCACGGTGCTTTTGACGCGGCCAGCTGCACCCCGCGAAGGAGCCACACGGTTATGTAGGGTCGCCGCTCGCTGTGATACAAATTCCTTGCCGGCGCTGAGTGGATTTAGAGTGGATTTCGCGGACATCAGACAGGGTAAAGATGCCAGGCTGGTGACATGCTCCGTAATGCGGTGGAACTGCCGCTGGGAACGGGAAACCAGCACTTGGTGAGGTATGGAACGTGATGGTGCGCAAAGAGCTGATACTCATGGTAATAAGTGCTGTTTTTTCTCTCTCGATATTGTCGGAGACCCACTTTTTGAATCTTTCAAAGAGGCAAGCACGTACGAGTCGAGTGTTTGAAGTCGCGGAGTTATTGACAGGTGCATACTACTCGAGGTAGGTACTCTGTGCGGAGTACAGTTTGTGCATTTCTGCATCGACAGAACATAAGCGCCAACCTGTGGCCAGCACTAGCTACTAAGTACTATTGTATAACTCATCGGCTTGAGCAACTGCGGCCTGGGTGGCAATGGCCCTTGCTCAATCAATCGCTATTGACTCGATGCCACCCCGCATCCCCGACTGGACGGCCTGAACCGTCATCTCCAGTCTTCATCTTGAACCATCTCGTGCATGTCCGTCATCCGTCAAATCACACATCCCATTGGCGGATCCTGCCGGTACTACGGGCCTGATCTTCGGCCCTCATGTCTGTTCCTGACAGCCCAGAGGCTCCAGCACCAGCTCTAAATCGCCCTGGCCAGCTTGTTGTCCTTGCTAGTGCCCGAAGTCGGCTCTTTTCTAGTCGTCTTCTGCGCTGCGAGTGGACGCTTGAGTTCAATATTGCGGATTGTGACGACGCACCAGGCACCACGGCTGCCCTTTATCCGCTGCAACTAGCATCCTTACAGAAGCTCCGTGCCCCCTCCATAACAGCCATGCCTCAGAAAGTGCTGTCTGCCATCTGCCAGGACATCTGGAGGAAAGCATCGTTACCACTCTCGTCACGAGACGGGCCGAACGTGGCTAGCCAACCCCCCTCCCATCCCATCCGATCAGGGGCCCATGTGTATCGAGACAACCAGTGACGAAAGAGTTGGCAACGCTGACTGTCCTCGTTCTCGGCCCGGGAGATCGCTGTGTAGAGGGTTGTTGAATATAAAGGTCATCATACGCTCAACACACCCTTCGTGAACCGGTGGCCTCGGACATGTTTTCACGTCAAGACACACCATCCCACAGTTGACGGGTTCCTACACGCTGAATACACAAGGTCTGTTTTCATCATGGCGTACTCGACTGCTGGGCCCTCCAAAGGCTTGGGCCTTTCTAGAAGCTCCATCTACAGCTTATTCTTCCTGGTGGCACTGTGCGTCCTCAGTACGCTGGCAGCTTGCGGCTCCGCGGCCGCCACGGGTGACAAGTATCTTATTGGCGTTGGTAAAGCAGACATCACAGGCCCTGTTGTTGAAATCGGCTTTGCCGGATACGCCAATCTCGACCAGAAAGGCACTGGTCTTCGGCAGCGTCTGCACAGCCGCGCTTTCATTGTCGCTGATAAGAATAATCCTGATGACCGGTTTGTGTACCTGGTCCTAGACTCGCAGTCTGGAGATACTGCTACACGTTATGGCGTATTGGACGGACTAAAGAATCTGGGAGCTGAGTACAGTATCTACGGCCATAATAACATCGCTTTGACCGGCACTCACAGCCATGCTGGCCCGGGCGCCTGGTTCAACTATCTCTTACCGCAGATCACAACCCTGGGCTTCGACAAGCAGAGCTACCAGGCTCTCGTGGACGGTGCCGTGCTGTCAATTAAGCGCGCCCATGAAAATCTCCAGGCCGTACGTTGTTGAATAAGACGCACCTTACTCTCTCATATCGCATGCCAAATAAACTTACACAGCTTCCTAGGGCTATTTGGACGCAGGCACGACCAGAGTCAAAGATGGCGCTATTAACCGCTCGCTTTACGCCTATCTTGCCAATCCCGAATCCGAGCGCAAGCAATATGAAGACGAGACCGACACTTTAATGACCCTCCTTCGTTTCAAGCGTGCTTCCGATAACAAGGACATCGGCGTCCTCACATGGTTTCCCGTTCACGGCACCTCCCTTCTCGGTAATAATACCCACGCTGCTGCGGACAACAAGGGTGTTGCGGCGTGGATGTTCGAAAATGCCATGAAGGATAACTCTAATGCTGCCGATGGATTTGTGGCTGGGTTTAGTCAGGCTAATGTGGGCGATACTACACCAAACGTTCTTGGGGCATATTGCGATGATGGATCCGGCCAGCAGTGTAGCTTGGAAAATAGCACCTGTGCGGATGGCAAGTCGCAGAGTTGTCACGGACGGGGACCCGAGTTCAGAGCGTTGGACCTCGGCGTCAAAAGCTGTTATGAGATAGGACGCCGTCAATTTGCAGGTGCTCAAACCATCTACGTAAGTTTTTTTTACATGAACGAAGGAAACCAGGCCCAGAACGCTAATATAGACGGGCCAGAACTCCCTGGGTACTTCGGGAACCCCAATTCAAGGCTCATCCGTCAAGGCATTCCATTTCTTCCACGACATGCGGTTCTGGAACTTCACTCTTCCCAGTGGCAAGCAGGCACAGACTTGCCCAGCCGCTTTGGGCTACTCGTTCGCAGCTGGAACATCCGACTGGCCTGGCGCATTCGATTTTACGCAAGGTGATTCTGGCGAGCCCAATGTC